TGCGCACATCCGCACATGATTCGAGGTGATGCGCTGTGGCAAACCACTGATGCGGACTATATGTGCGCACATCCGCACATGATTCGAGGTGATGCGCTGTGGCAAGCCACTGAGGCGAACTAAATATGCCCACATACGCGCATGATTCGAGGTGATGCACTGTGGCAAACCACTGAAGCGGACTGAATATGCGCACATCCGCACATGATTCGAGGTGATGCGCTGTGGCAAGCCGCTGAGGCGGACTCAAATTGCGCACATCCGTACATGATTCGAGGTGATGCGCTGTGGCAAGCCACAGAGGCGGACTGAATTTGCGCACATCCGCACATGATTCGAGGTCATGTGCCGTGACGGGCCACTGAGGCGGAGTGAATATGCCCACATACGCACATGATTCGAGGTGATGCGCTGTGGCAAACCACTGAGGCGGACTGAAAGTGCGGTCATCCGCACATGATTCGAGGTGATGCGCTGTGGCAAGCCACTGAGGCGGACTGAAAGTGCGCACATCCGCACATGATTCGAGGTGGTGCGCTGTGGCAAGCCACTGAAGCGGACTGAATATGCGCACATCCGCACATGATTCGAGGTGGTGCGCTGTGGCAAGCCACTGAGGCGAACTAAATATGCCCACATACGCGCATGATTCGAGGTGATGCGCTGTGGCAAACCACTGAAGCGGACTGAATATGCGCACATCCGCACATGATTCGAGGTGATGCGCTGTGGCAAACCACTGAGGCGGACTGAAAGTGCGCACATCCGCACATGATTCGAGGTGATGCGCTGTGGCAAGCCACTGAGGCGGACTGAAAGTGCGCACATCCGCACATGATTCGAGGTCATGTGCCGTGACGGGCCACTGAGGCGGACTGAATTTGCGCACATCCGCACATGATTCGAGGTGATGCGCTGTGGCAAGCCACTGAGGCGGACTGAATTTGCGCACATACGCACATGGTTCGGGGTGGTGCGCTGTGGCAAGCCACTGAGGCGAACTAAATATGCCCACATACGCACATGGTTCGGGGTGATGGGCTGTGGCAAACCACTGAGGCAGACTCAAAGTGCGCACATACGCACATGATTCGAGGTGGTGCGCTGTGGCAAGCCACTGAGACGGGCTGAATTTGCGCACATCCGCACATGATTCGAGGTGCTGCGCTGTGGCAAGCCACTGAGGCAGACTCAAATTGCGCACATCCGCACATGATTCGAGGTGATGCGCTGTGGCAAGCCGCCGAGGCGGACCGAATTTGCGCACATCCGCACATGTTTCGTGGTGATGCGCTCTGGCAAGCCACTGAGGCGGACTGAAAGTGGGCACATCCGCACATGATTCGAGGTGATGCGCTTTGGCAAACCACGATTCGAGGTGATGCGCTGTGGCAAGCCACTGACGCGGACTGAATATGCGCACATACGCACATGATTCGAGGTAATGCGCTGTGGCAAGCCACTGAGGCGGACTGAATATGCGCACATCCGCACATGATTCGAGGGGATGCGCTTTGGCAGGGCACTGAGGCGGACTGAAAGTGGGCACATCCACACATGATTCGAGGTGATGCGCTTTGGCAAGCCACGATTCGAGGTGATGCGCTGTGGCAAGCCACGATTCGAGGTGATGCGCTGTGGCAAGCCACTGAGGCAGACTCAAATTGCGCACATCCGCACATGATTCGAGGTGATGCGCTTTGGCAAGCCGCCGAGGCGGACCGAATTTGCGCACATCCGCACATGATTCGAAGTGATGCGCTGTGGCAAGCCACGATTCGAGGTGATGCGCTGTGGCAAGCCGCCGAGGCGGACCGAATTTGCGCACATCCGCACATGATTCGTGGTGATGCGCTGTGGCAAGCCACTGAGGCGGACTGAAATTGGGCACATCCGCACATGATTCGAGGTGACGCGCTTTGGCAAGCCACGATTCGAGGTGATGCGCTGTGGCAAGCCACGATTCGAGGTGATGCGCTGTGGCAAGCCACTGATGCGGACTATATTTGCGCACATCCGCACATGATTCGAGGTGATGCGCTTTGGCAAGCCACTGAGGCGAACTAAATATGCCCACATACGCGCATGATTCGAGGTGATGCGCTGTGGCAAGCCACTGACGCGGACTGAAAGTGCGCACATCTGCACATGATTCGAGGTGATGCGCTGTGGCAAGCCGCCGAGGCGGACCGAATTTGCGCACATCCGCACATGATTCGAGGGGATGCGCTGTGGCAAACCACTGATGCAGACTGAAAGTGCGCACATCCGCACATGATTCGAGGTGATGCGCTATGGCAAGCCGCCGAGGCGGACCGAATTTGCGCTCATCCGCACATGATTCGAGGTGATGCGCTGTGGCAAGCCACTGACGCGGACTGAATATGCGCACATCCGCACATGATTCGAGGGGATGCGCTTTGGCAAGGCAGAGGCGGACTGAAAGTGGGCACATCCGCACATGATTCGAGGTGATGCGCTTTGGCAAGCCACGATTCGAGGTGATGCGCTGTGGCAAGCCACGATTCGAGGTGATGCGCTGTGGCAAGCCACTGACGCGGACTGAAAGTGCGCACATCTGCACATGATTCGAGGTGATGCGCTGTGGCAAGCCGCCGAGGCGGACCGAATTTGCGCACATCCGCACATGATTCGAAGTGATGCGCTGTGGCAAGCCGCCGAGGCGGACCGAATTTGCGCACATCCGCACATGATTCGAGGTGATGCGCTTTGGCAAACCACTGATGCGGACTATATGTGCGCACATCCGCACATGATTCTAGGTGATGCGCTGTGGCAAACCACTGATGCGGACTATATTTGCGCACACCCGCACATGATTCGAGGTGATGCGCTTTGGCAAGCCACTGAGGCGGACTGAAAGTGGGCACATCCGCACATGATTCGAGGTGATGCGCTGTGGCAAGCCACTGATGCGGACTATATTTGCGCTCATCCGCACATGATTCGAGGTGATGCGCTTTGGCAAGCCACTGAGGCGGACTGAAAGTACGCACATCCGCACATGATTCGAGGTGATGCGCTGTGGCAAGCCACTGATGCGGACTATATGTGCGCACATCCGCACATGATTCTAGGTGATGCGCTGTGGCAAGCCACTGAGTCGGACTGAAAGTGGGCACATCGGCACATGATTCGAGGTGATGCGCTGTGGCAAGCCACTGAGGCGAACTAAATATGCCCACATACGCACATGGTTCGGGGTGATGGGCTGTGGCAAACCACTGAGGCAGACTCAAAGTGCGCACATCCGCACATTATTCGAGGTGATGCGCTGTGGCAAACCACTGATGCGGACTATATTTGCGCACATCCGCACATGATTCGAGGTGATGCGCTGTGGCAAGCCACTGATGCGGACTATATGTGCGCACATCCGCACATGATTCGAGGTCATGTGCCGTGACGGGCCACTGAGGCGGACTGAATTTGCGCACATACGCACATGGTTCGGGGTGATGGGCTGTGGCAAGCCACTGATGCGGACTATATGTGCGCACATCCGCACATGATTCGAGCTGATGCGCTGTGGCAAGCCACTGAGGCGGACTGAAAGTGGGCACATCCGCACATGATTCGAGGTGATGCGCTGTTGCAAGCCACTGATGCGGACTATATGTGCGCACATCCGCACATGATTCGAGCTGATGCGCTGTGGCAAGCCGCTGAGGCGGAATGAAAGTGCGCACACCCGCACATGATTCGAGGTGATCAGCCGTGGCGGGCCACTGAGGCGGAATGAAAGTGCGCACACCCGCACATGATTCGAGGTGAGGTGCCGGGGCGGCCACTGAGGCGTATTGAAATACGGTCACCTGCAAATGATTTGAGGCGACCTGCAGTGGTGCTCCTCTGAGCCGGAGTGAAAGTGCGGTTACTCGCACATGATTCATGGTGGTGTGCCGTGATGCGCCTATGAGGTGTGATAAAAGTGCTGTAACCCGCGCGTAATTCAAGGTGAAGTGCGGTGGTGCGCCTCTGAGCCGATTGAAGTGCGGTAACCTGCATATCATTCGAAGTGATCTGCCGGGCGGGCCTCTTAAGTGCTGATAAGGCGAATTGAAGGTGCTGTAGTCCGGACATCACTCAAGATGATGTGAGGAGGAGCGAATCTGGGGCGCCTCTGATTTGGATTGAACGTGCGGTTACCCGCACATGATTCGACGTGACGCTCCGCGTCCAGCCTATGTGCTCGTAATGTTGCTCTTCGTTACGCCTATGCTTGATGAAACCTGTTACATGGTGAAATATATGTCTTCAAACCGGAAATTGCGTGTATTCCCGGAAATAGTAGCATTGAAATCAGTTTGTGGTGGATATTACGTGCTAACACTTGCGGAATTCGTCCATATTGGTGCTGCAATATTTATGGGATGATACCACAAATTCTGGGAATATTCTGTCGCGTTCGCACTGAAAAGTTCTAGTAAAATCGGTGAAAAAGTGAAGGAGCGTGGCGAATTCATGAATGATAAATAAGCTCAGATGAATGGATAGCGAAAATGGTTGCTCGGCTACAACCAGTTTTGCGCCGAGAAAAAAATTGGCATAGGTAGAACACTCGTGTTAAAATACAAAGAGTATCTCGATAATAATTCTAAAAGAAATTGTTTGCACAGTAATCCTCTAGTTAGGCGTTACATAACGCGACATACATGGTGATCGCTTAAAGCTATATTTATGATACTATCGAAGGAGGCAGAAACATCGGCTCTTAGAACTCTGAATATCCTTGATATTAAGGCTGTAATCCTAAAATTGAACCGAAAAGATGATTGCTTTGTATTCACCTATGAATTAATGCAGTTACCTCAAGTTGATTTTCCTAGTTTCAGATGGTCATTGCTACTTTGTGCAAACTCTGCTTCATTACCTTCACTTTCCAATTTTACTAACTGCTATTTTTCTCCTAGGGGCTCTCTCACTGAAGCATCTCTATTAGGGCTGGTGACAAGGCAACGTGGTGCGTTGTCAGATGGAGGATAGCAATCAAACGCGGAGAAAAGGCTCACTTCTGTTTCCCTGGAATGCAAGCTGATGTAGAGGGTGTAATCCTTATTTCGAAGCCAGTTTGATACATAATATTCGTGTTCATATATATATATATGTATATATATATATATATATATTTGGGCTCGTTTGCATGGGTGCGTTCGTCTGTATGCATATTGGGTCCCCTAAATCTATTTGGCCGAAAGCATGCAATCAAATGACTAAAAGATACATGGGAGATGGATAAGAGTAGCTTCTAAAAAATAAGTAATAATAGGCACCAAGTAAAAAATAGGCACTGTGACTGCTCGTAGTTCATATACATACATGTATATATATTCGTATATACATATATATACTTAAATATATGTATATATATATATATATATATACATGGGTGAGTCTCACTCATCATCAAAACGATGGGCAGTTTTTAAGAAAAATGGCCTTCATCTATAGAGGTGTTCGTCACTGCTATATGTCATCATATTATATGGTTATTGATACATGAAATACACCCGCGCTCTGAAGAAGACGAAGATGCCGAAACGTCAGCTATCGAACCACAACGACAACAGCGACAAAGACTGATTCCAAACTCGTGTCTGTTTAAGAGGAGAGGTTCGTAAGGACATATATACACACACCATTTTCTATTTCAACAATGTGGAATCCTAGCTTTGTGGAGCACGTGGTTCTCCTGGCTGCATGAAATGTTTGTCGCAGTAATTGAAAAAGCAGCATTGGTTGGAGAGGATCAGGCACCCTGGTGTTCTACTAAATCGCTCAGCTTCAGCAGAACCACTGAACCGAAATTTGAGCGGAAGTGACCTTTCAGCAGATTTGTTTCCTTTGACTGATCAACATCGGCCATAGACGCTGCATTTCTTTGCGAATTTAACAATTTCTTGGCCAGTTCTTCACTCAGATAACTTCGCAAGCATTTAATACTTTAAAATTAAAATGGATTAAGCTTGCTTGGTTAATACGAGAATGTAGTCATGATCTTCTCCTGCTAAGAAATTGGCTTCATAATGTTTAGATACTACGTGTTTTCACCAACCCTGCGTAGCACATTGTTAGCGGTGGTAAACGGAGCACTCTCCGACGGATGTCGAAGTATGAAAATGAAAGTTATCGTTGCGAAGGAAGGTTCTAGAGCAAATCTCAAAATGATCATCACCCTTCTATTTCTTTTTTTGAATCCATGCGGACACAACTAGCTCACAACTCCACAACTGCAATACAGTTTCACCACATTCGAGTTCGGTTGCAATGTCTACAAACTGTTGCTTTACCCGTGCTTATTTCTTCCAATATTTCGTAAACTATTGTACGTGGATTCTCCTCAGTTAATGTCTCCAAAACGTCATCATGAAGGCGGAGATAAAAATGAGTACTTTGCATCGCGTACCACTTTGTAACCCAGACGTTGCGGGTGATGAAAAAAAACGACGTAGTTTGAAATCTTCTCAAAAGTGGGAAAGGCACACGTTGCGCACTACTTGGAAGCGTTCTGGAACACACACGTGACTAATCCCTCCGGTGTCAACAAATTTATTGCAGAGTTGTCTCTGAAGATAGCAGCAGTGAGCTGATATACTGGCAAGCCACCACAACTCGTCGCAGAAGCTAGATATGAATTCAAAGCGATGCTCGATGAATGCGAATCAGTGGCACATCCTCAGCGATTGATCAACGTCCAACGTTTTTTGATTTTTACGCATGAAAAATTAGGTGCGAATAGCGTAGTGGTAATGACACTGTTTAATATGGAAAAATCCCTGATAAGACCGCACTCAGGGTACGCGACGCACCATATCCAATCAGAGTCGATAAATTAATACCTCACTAACTCAAATCCACAAAAGCGAGCGATTGTATCAAAGCTTATAGGGAGAGTGCACCTGAACAGTGCTGTACCAAGCAACATTAATGAAGAATATAAAAATTCCTAAGGAAGGAACCAAACCGAAAACCGTGGATCACGAACGCATGAAAACGAATTAAATGTGAAAAATAGAGGCATAATCACAACGTGGTGTAAAAAAAAAATGTGTCCACTCAAGTCACTTCCTTCAAGACAAAGCCGACAAAATACAACTGAACTGCGACTGCGAGAAAAAATTTCCTAGGAATTAAAATGCTTCTCTAGAGTTTTACTACTACCAAATACAACTGAAAACTAGGAGTAAATGAATGGGCACCACATAAGAAAATCGGAAAGAACGTTCAACACGAAGTCAAGCAGAAAATATGGGAAGAAATTAGCACTGTAGAAATCAACTTAAAAATCCAGGAAAAGGTTAAACACACAATAAATACGCATACGGTGAATCGATGAGATTCAAACAGTTCTTCTTTGAAGAATTACATAGAAGACGAAAGTTATAAGAGGTACTACAATGCTCAATTCTACATGAGTGATCTGACGCCTAGTGGGTCAAAAGCGCTGTTCATAAGATCAGTTGTTCGGCTACGAATGCACAACGTACAGACGTGCTACCAAGACAAATGAACGAAGTACTTCCGGTAAATCCTTGGATGCTGTTGCTTCAAAAGTTCACACTTCTTTTGCTTTTCAGTAGGAGATATTTGAAAGTCGTTAATAATAGCCGTTAAAGTACTAGCAATTTCTACTTCAACATCGAAATTCTCGAGCAAGGATTCAGCTGCACACAATCGGAGAGACAACATCATCTCTTTGGTTGCGTTCCCTCTGAAAAAGTTACAAGCTGGGGTACAATGATTAACCTAATTAACAACATAATACAAACCAAAGCCATCTAGAAGTTGAGATCTATGTCTCGGCCTTTCAACTTTTTTTTGTAGGCAAGAAATCATTTATAGATTACGAGGCCAATAGTTTTTAAGCTGTTATTAACGAAACACGATGCCACATCAAAATTACAATAGAAGGAAGGAGTGGATTAAAAAATCTTCTAGATTCCGTGAACACATCTCGAGGCTCTGAGATCGGTCTGCATTTCTTCTGGTGACCTCCCGAAAGCGCCTTCCTTTCGGAATTCTATTGGCAACTGCAAATACTGCCATTATAGTGAAAGACAAAAGACTTTAAACTACAACCTAAGTGACTCTTATGATGGATAAAACAAAAGTACCTCAATAATCTGGTTTTGCTTAGATATGTCAATGGTTTATGGGAAAATAGAACACCTAAACTAATTGAGAGCAATTCTGAAAATGTCGCTGTCATCCCGAAACAGTAATCGAAAACTCCCAAACATTTTCTTTTCAGATGTAAAATCAATACGAAGGAGTGACAGCGATTGTTCAGTTTTAAAAGTAATCAAATACATTTACGATAGAGCAAGTTTTCTTGTGAAATACAGGTAATTCCACGATGGCTAGAGTAAGTGATGAAATGAGGACTTGAGGAACTCATAGAAGCGATCTTCTGCTGTATCCAAGGAAATATCTACAATCTTTCTGAATTTCATTCTAACTTACTTATTTGGATACTTTGATGGCTCTTTTTCATTCCTTGTGCTAGCCACAGGATAATTTCAATTTCTTCGCAGCTTTAGTGGCTCGGCTATTGCGGCTCCAGGGAATCCTGAGGTCACCTGGCCAGTCTGCTTCAGGCCGTCACCAGTACAGGCAGTTACCGCCGTTTTGAATCAGAGAGAGATTTGCCACGATGCCACTAATTTGATACCAGGACGGTGGTGGATTCTGGTATTGGCTTGCTCATAGCTAGGCTTCCTGATCGAAACGCCGAACACCTTCTCAGCATGGGAGACCGTGCTGGGGAATGAAACACCCGCTGTACATCGCAGCCAGGCATCCAGGAACACCTTCCAGCCACGATGAGTGGTAAACAGTTGGATAGAAATTTATTCTAAAGTTGTCTGATTTTCAAATTTTCTTTCCTCCTAAA